ATAGTTTGAACTGAAATGTGTGTTGGCAGTGTGTGTACACAACCACCCTATAATGATAAAAATCCACCCAGTGTTTTTTTTTTTTTAATCGTGCTAAATGTTTTCCCCGTTCTCAAATCGAGCCGATCTCAGATGCCTGTTTGTGTGACATCACAAAAACAGGCCCCTCCCACGATAGTTTGATTGACAGTAGCATTTCAGCACAGACTGGACTGGTGTCTTACCCAGTGCTTCATTTATAAATTGCGAGGTCCCGGAACAAAGTGGAGTGACGGATCCGGCATGATTAAAGGAGGGAGAGGTAACGGAGCATTTCCGCAATGGAGGACCAGCTTACGTGATTAACAGCGTGCATCTTCTTACGGTCATGAAAAAATTGAAAAGTCACGAAATTTTAAAACAGCCATTTCCAGGCCTGGAAAAGTTTTGGAAAAGTCATGGATGTTTTTCCTTAAATCTCTGTATAATAGAATTATGTTTAATCTGCTTTCGAGTTTATAATGAGGGAAATTCCTGCAAACATATTCAATAGAGCGTGTAGGTAAGATGAGTAAATAAATCCAAACATAATATCAGATTAAATCAGTCATTTAAAAACAGTGTAAGTGATTCAGCTGTATCACTTACATTGCGTGCTCCATATGCGCTCACAGTCACATCCATAGCGCGCATATCGCGCCGCAACGCGAGTAACAAATTGAGGTATTTTTCGCAGCTTGTTGCGCTTAAGTGGCCAAATACACACAACAAATGTCCTGGCGATTATCCTCGTAAGCACAGTCGGTTTTGTCTTAACTAAATGTAACGGTATTAAAGAGACAGCTCGCACAATGTAATTAACATCAAAATAAATTAACAAGAGCAAATATATTGTTTGCACATGTTTATTTACATTAAAGGCAAAATAACGAAAATAATAAGAGCACAAGTATAGATCTGGAACTTCTTTAAGTCTGTCTAAATATCATTTAGTAATCGCAATGTCTTCTGGTCCATATCCTTTCCTTAGGAAGGTGTGCTAAATACTGATTAATGTAACATAAAAATACTATACATATTTATATATTTTGCTATTGTATTATGGAGTGACACTTTCATAAACTTTTCTATACTCCTCCGATTATATAATGGTAAATATTACAATATCATAGCACAACAACAGTGATCAGCAATAATGATAAGCCGAATACTCACAATAAAAATAATAAGGTCATATAGATCATAACACAGTCTCGGAGGTAAGAAGTGGATTATCCTTCACCTGAAATGTTTGTCTTTTCATCCTGAAATGCGAGGCAAATGTTGGATCACAATATTAGGAACCACAGTTTCCACAAATTATACCGATTTCATCAGGCTCTGAAAATTCTTCAAAAAGAACACAAAGAATGGCCTTCTCAGCTGCCATAGTTGCAACTCTTGCGTCATCAGAACAGGGTGTTCAACGCATCACCGTTTCCATTTAAAAAATGTTTTGCACCGTTTTGTCGGGGCTGAACGCAGCCCTGGTCTTACCTCAGACCCGCCCTGAGTGAGCTATCATCAGTCCGCCATTGTTTCGATGCCGGAGCAGATGTAGACAAGATTGTCTCCAAAGCGATTGAGGTCTTCTGTTGTTGGATGTAATAATGAACATAGCAGTCGTCATTTACTCCCGACATCTGAGCCGCTGAACTCGCAGTGGATTACATGTTTGCGCGAATCATTCATGATCCAGCCTCATATCTACAGAAGAAGTGAGTATAATGTTTTGTAAAGAATCTTTGCAAATCGCCTTTCCTAATAATGTGCTAATTAGCAAGTTTCACATGAATGCGGCTAAAGTAAACAGTCTCTCTGAGAGCAGCTCGGAAGAGAGGGGCGAGGTCAGCAGAGTTCATTAACATTTAAAGGAAAATGCTACAAAAACGGCTTGATCTGAAAAGAGCTGTTTTTGACAGGGTAAAAAAAGGTGTTTTTTACACTACTATTGAGAAATTTTAACCAAACTATGTTACAGACTTTTCATTAAGACCCTAAAGAATCATATCAACTTGTGGAAAATGGGCATCCTATGACCCCTTTAAGTTCACTTAGAGATACAACTTAATAGCAGGCGAAATGAGATGGTCCTCACTGCAGAACACAAGATCCAGGAGGTGAGGTTGGATCCAGATCCAACTCCTCCCACCTTACGTATACCTAAACCTACCCGTCTCCAACCCTTGATCCCTAAACCCACTCATCTCCACCCCCTAGATGTGGATCTAACCCCGCACATGTATTCAGTGAGTTACACACTGTATCTGTTTTGCAGCAGAATCTCACGTATCACGAAGCGAATCGTTTTTGCACATGGACAAGCGACGTATATGACGGGCTTACTTATCGGCTCTTTATTCGGTGGCGCTGTTTCTGACAAGTTGGAATTTGCCCCTTTCTGTTTTCGACGTCAGACGTTACTATATACAAGTTAATTATGAAAAAAATTATTTTCTCCCTCTAATCAGATATGAAAGAATCATTTACTCCTGACATCTGAGCCGCTGAACTCGCAGTGGATTACATGTTTGCGCGAATCATTCATGATCCAGCCTCATATCTACAGAAGAAGTGAGTATAATGTTTTGTAAAGAATCTTTGCAAATCGCCTTTCCTAATAATGTGCTAATTAGCAAGTTTCACATGAATGCGGCTAAAGTAAACAGTCTCTCTGAGAGCAGCTCGGAAGAGAGGGGCGAGGTCAGCAGAGTTCATTAACATTTAAAGGAAAATGCTACAAAAACGGCTTGATCTGAAAAGAGCTGTTTTTGACAGGGTAAAAAAGGTGTTTTTTACACTACTATTGAGAAATTTTAACCAAACTATGTTACAGACTTTTCATTAAGAACCTAAAGAATCATATCAACTTGTGGAAAATGGGCATCCTATGACCCCTTTAAGTTCACTTAGAGATACAACTTAATAGCAGGCGAAATGAGATGGTCCTCACTGCAGAACACAAGATCCAGGAGGTGAGGTTGGATCCAGATCCAACTCCTCCCACCTTACGTATACCTAAACCTACCCGTCTCCAACCCTTGATCCCTAAACCCACTCATCTCCACCCCCTAGATGTGGATCTAACCCCGCACATGTATTCAGTGAGTTACACACTGTATCTGTTTTGCAGCAGAATCTCACGTATCACGAAGCGAATCGTTTTTGCACATGGACAAGCGACGTATATGACGGGCTTACTTATCGGCTCTTTATTCGGTGGCGCTGTTTCTGACAAGTTGGAATTTGCCCCTTTCTGTTTTCGACGTCAGACGTTACTATATACAAGTTAATTATGAAAAAAATTATTTTCTCCCTCTAATCAGATATGAAAGAAATTACTTTTAATCTGCTGCTCAGCGATCGTCGCAGTTGCTACTCTTGTATTGGCATTTCTGCCCTATGTGCCCGTTTACTTGACTGCCCGTGGCATCAGTGGAGTAGCCTGCTGTGCCATTCACATCTGCACCTACAGTTTAGGTAGGCTACTACAGCTACGCTTATGCGTGTCTTCTTATTCTGTATTAACACTGCTGGACAAAAAATAAACTATTTTAGTGGCAAGGAAGTTTTTTCTTCTACCTTTTAAAATAAACTAAGCAAGGGTGGTCAGTCTTGCTCCTGCAGAACTACTTCTCTACAGCCCTAAACACTTTGCCTAAAGTGTTTTCAAACGTTTTTTGAATGCAAAATATATTACATAAACTAAAAATTATACACACACACACATGCTGTGTATATACATATATACACACACACACACATACACACAGGTACATCTGCCAAAAATTAGAATATCATGAAAAAGGTCCATTTTTTTGTCACTCATTTCAGAAAGTGAAACCCATATATTATATAGATTCATTACACAGAGTGAAATATTTCAAGCCTTTATTTCTTGAAATTTTGATAATTATGGCTTACAGATAATGAAAACCCAAAATTCACGGTCTCCGAAAATTTTAATATTACATAAGATCAATTAAAAAAAGGATATTTTAAACAGAAATGTCAGGCTTCTGAAAAGTATGTTTTTCTTATTGTTTGAAGTATTTCTATGCACTCAATATTTGGTTGGGCCTCCTTTTGCATGAATTACTGCATCAATGCAGCGTGGCATGGAGGCAATCAACCTGTGGCGCTGCTCAGGTGTAATGGAAGCCCAGGTTGCTTTGATAGCGGCCTTCAGGTCATCTGCATTGTTGTCTCTCATCTTCCGCTTGACAGTAAAACATAGATTCTCTATGGGGTTCAGGTCAGGTGAGTTTGCTGGCCAATCAAGCACAGTAACACCATGGTCATTGAACCAGCTTTTGGTACCTTTGGCAGTGTGGGCAGATGCCAAGTCCTGCTGGAAAATGAAATCAGCATCTCCATAAAGCTTGTCAGCAGAAAGTGCTCTAAAATTTCCTGGTAGATGGCTGCGTTGACTGTGGACTTCAGAAAACACAGTGGACCAACACCAGCAGATGACATGGCAGTCCAAATCATCACTGACTGTGGAAACTTCACACTGGACTTCAAGCAACATGGTTTCTGTGCCTCTCCACTCTTCCTCCAGACTCTGGGACCTTGATTTCCAAATGAAATGCAAAATTTACTTTCATCTGAAAAGAGGACTTTGGACCACTGAGCAACAGTCCAGTTCTTTTTCTCC